TCAACAATGAAGTGTTGAAAGGAAAACCAATTTACTCCATAAACTTTCACCCAAATCACAATAAATAATTAAAAAAAAATTATTACCTCCACTATTGTTGCTGTTAAGTGCCATCGAGTGTTGGTTCCAACCCATAGCGACCCTGTATAGGGTTTCCAAGGAGCAGCTGGCGAGCTTGAACCACCAGCCTTGCAGTTCAAACGGCTTTGCAATCTGGTGCATTAACCCACAGTGCCACACCAGTAGCTAAGAGCTGTCAAATCAGTTCCAACTCATAGTGATTCTGTATACGGTTTCCGAGGAACGGCTGGTGGGCTTGAACTGCTGACCTTGTAATCAGCAGTCCTGTGCTAATCTTATAGCACCACACCAGGACCCAGGACTCCCACTAGAATGGCTCTAATCGAAGAGGTAGAAAGCAGCGTTGTAGAAACTGTGAAGACATTAGAACTTTCATCCACTGTTGGTGGGATTGTGATATGACATAGCCACTGTAGAAAGCCATTTGGTTCCATCGCATAAGTGCTGCCTCATGGTGACCCCATGTATGTCAGAATAGAACTGCATTCTATTGAGTTTTCAAGGTTGTCCCCTTTGGAGGCAGATTGCCAGATCTTTCTTCTCAGGTACCTGAACTTCAAACTGCCAACCTTTAGATTAGTAGTCAAACACTTAAGCGTTTGTGCCACACAGGACACGTACCAAAGGGAAGTTTCAAAGAAAACGAAGGCACCTTCACATCAAAATAAAATAGAGGAATATCAGAACGATTTAAGTAAAGATTTTCTTGCTCTATGTTAACATGGGTGAGGGGCAGGCAATATACAACAAGAGGGAGGTTGGCAGAGGAAAGATGAAGGTAACAAGAGACACAAGGAGGGATACAAGAGTTAAAGTGAACAGAGGTAAATACTATGAACTGATGGTACATGGAGGATTGTAATCATTGTAATGAAGCAAAGCGTATGATTTGTTGAATGTAAAACTGATGGTTTGCTCTGTAAACCTTCACTCAATTCACAATAAAAAGTAAAATTTTATATATATATATATACTAACAGATGGGACTTACTACCATCAAGAAAGAAGAGTCAGAAGTAGAGTGTGTCCTTTGGACCCAGAGCCCTGCACTGTGACGCCTTAAATCCAGAGGAAGACGGATACCTATTCACCAGGAGATCTCTAAGGAAGGCCAGATGCAGACAGAAAGCCTTTTAGAACCACCATTCTGAATCTGAACTTTCAGCCTCCTTAAATTGTTGTTAAAAAATCAAAATAAAAGGTTGCAGGTTCAAGTTCAACCAGAAGCACCTCTGAGGAAAGGCCTAGTAATCTAGTTCTGAAAAACTCAGCCCTTGAGAACGCTGTGGAGCACAGTTCTGCTCTGCTGTACATAGGTCACCAGGAGTCAGGGTCAACCCAAAGGCCACTAGTTTTCATGGATATAAGGCACTTAACAACAGCAACAACAGAGGGGGTGGGAGGGAGAAAGAAGGAAGGATATAATCAATCAAAGACCAGGAAGGGTTATGAAGATTAACTGTTAGTGTTGGTGGCCTTGAAAATGTTTTGAATTCAATGGACTGGATTAAAAAAACATTTTAAAGCGTGAAAGGAATTCTGGGTGAGACTCTGGTGAATAGATAGGGCACAAAACATGCATATTCAATTGTTGTTAAGTACCATGGAGTCAGTTCCGACTCATAGTGATCCTGCACAGGGTTTCCAAGGAGCAGTTGGTAAGCTTGAAGCACCGACCTTACAGTTCAAACCACTTTGCAGTCTGACGCATTAGCCCATAGTGCCACACCAGGACTCCGCATATTCAATGTTGTTGTTGTTGTTAGGTGCCATCAAGTCGGTACCAACCCATAGCGACCCTATGCACAGCAGAGAGAAACACTGCCTGATCCTGGGCCAACCTCAATACTGTTGCCACACTTGAGTCCATCAATGCTGCCACTTGGCCAACCCATTGTTGGGGGTCTTCCTCTTTTTCACTGACCCTCCACTTTACCAAATATGTAGCCTTCTCCAGCAACTGGTCCCTCCTGACAATATGTCCTAAGTATGAGAGACGAAGTTTGGCCATCCTGGCCTCCAAGGAGCACTCTGGCTGCACTTCTTCCAACACGGATCTATTGGCTCTTTTGGCAGTCCATGGCACTTTCAATATTCTCCTCCAACACCATAACTCAAATGCGTCAAATCTTCTATGGTCTAACCCCAAACAAGATGGACTCCAAAAGAAAATATTCAAGACATATTATCACCAACTTTTCAAAACGAAAGACAAGGAAAGAATCCTGAGAGCAGAGCCAATAAGATTAAAAACTCTGATTTCTCTACAGAAACTATGCAAACAAAAAGGCAAAAAATTATCATATGAGATGACATACATAAAACTCTGAGAGAAAAAAAACAAAAACCGCCAACCAAGAATAATATACTCAGCAAAATTGTTCCTCGTATACGATAGTGGAACTAGGATATTGCCAGATAAACAGAAATGAAAGGTAGTTGTAAAAACCAGACCAAACCTGATTAGAAATACTAAAGGGAGTTCTTCAGACAGAACCAACAGCTATAGACAACAACCTGAGATGAACATGCATGACACTACTCACAGGTCAACACAGATATAGAAATAGCCAAGCAAAAACAAACTTACCAGACTGAAAATAGGGAAGCAGAAATATGAATTTGTAACAGAGATAATTATAAGCTAAAAAGAGGGAATAGTGTGGTCATAGGACGTCCAAATGGAGACGAAGATAAAAGTAAAAATGTCAGAATTCAACAACCCAATGGTAACTTTTCTTTTTAGTAACCCTTAATGTTTTTTTCCAGAGTCCTGGCGTAGTGCATAAAGATAAATCCTGAACTTATCCTGCAAGCTCTGTGGTTCAAACCCATCAGCCGCACCTCAGAAACTCTACACAGGGTCGCTAAGAATTGATTCAACTAGATGGCATTTAACAAGTGTTTTTCTTTCTTCCCCCAGCAGAGGGCGTCCGGAGCCTGAGTTCCTACAGTCCCAGGGCACGCCCCATCCTTTTCTCGCTAGCCAGTGAACGGGGCTATTTTTATACAATGTCATCAGACACCAATGACTGGAAGGCCATCTTCCGTCTGCCCTTCAGTCCCTTTGAGTGACCCTGCGGTGTCTCTGTGACCCACTCCCTTGGGAGTCCTGGCTTCTCCTCGCACATAGCCTTCAGGGCTACAGCTCAGACCCTGCGTGGTCTCAGAAAGTCATGCAGACAAGCCAAATGGAGACACCCAGGGAGGAGACAGGGCTGAGGGTATGCATGTCCAGTTGGTTACCAGATTCCAGTACCATTAGGTGTTACCAGGACACTCACAACGAACTGGTGCCAAAAAAACCCACAAACAAACAACTGAGACACAGAGAGAAAGAGATGCATTACCCTCACCCATGCCCCCCGCCCCCAACACACACACACACACACACACTTGGAGTAATGGTCAGAGACAGATTCAGAGATCCTTTAGAGGCTCCAAGACAAAGACTTGCAGTCATTTAGAGATAGAGGGGAAGGAGACTTAAAGAGACTCCCCAGGAGATCCACAAAAACTAAGGACAGAGAAGTGATCATGTAAGGTGCAGCTAGTGTTCTCTCTCAGTGTGGAAAAAGAAGAGTGATAAGAATTGAAGAAGTTTGCAATCAATTAGTCCGATGGACAAATTGAACATGTGACCATCACTCTCCACAACTCTGAAATCAGAACTAAACAGTGCCTAGCTATCAGTACCACGAACTGCCCTGAATGGCTCACATTGCAGGGTCCTGGATAGAGTGGGAGAAAATGTGAAACAAAACTTAAAAATTTTTAATAATAATAATAAGGACAGGTTTAAAAAGAGACTGGAGGAACCCTTCAGGTCTGCAAAGGAACTCACCCTGGTGGCCCAATTTTCAGCCAAGCAGTAGACAGGTTTATTGTTGTTGTTAAGTGTTGTCCAGTTGGTTCCAAGTCATACAGACCCTGTATAGGGTTCGAAGTCCAGTGCTTATCCTACAGTGCCGCACCAGAAGTCCAAACAGGTTTATGGGGGAGGGTGGGGGTGGACACCACTTGCAAGGTACGCTCACCAGTCTTTCAAAATCAAAAGGGTAACATATGCCTAAGGACAAAGTTGAGAAAGGATAGGAAGGTGGACGGAATGCAAATAGGAATAACAGGGAGGAATCAGGCTGTTGTTACACGGGAGGGATTGTAATCTTTGAACTGAAACAAAGCATATGATTTATTTACTGTAAAACTGATGATCTTGTCGGTAAACCTTCACTCAATGCACAATGATAATAAAAATGATAAAGAACTGAGTAAGGATAGAGACACAGGGGGGATAAGAGAGAGAGGAGACCCAGAGAGACGAGAGGGATTCAGAGGACAACGGAGGCAGAAGGAGACACCCAGAGAGAAACAATGATCCTGAGATTCAGAGACTGACAAAATTTCCCAGAGCGATGAAACACAGTGAGACAGAGTAATGAGACCTTGAAAGGGACACATAGAGACAGAAAGAGAGAAATCTGTAAGGGTAACATATTGTTGTGTGCCGTGGAGTGGAGTCAGTTCCGACTCATAGCGACCCTGATAGGGTTTCCGAGGCTGTAAATCTTGACGAGAGCAGAAAGCCTCATCTTTCTCCCGTGGAACAATTGGTAGTTTCGAACTGCTGACCATGAGATTAGCAGCCCGATTCGTAACCACTACGCTACCAGAGCTCCTTAAGTTTAACAAAGGGGCTCAGAAGTTTACAGGAAGAGGTGTTGAAAGATTAGACCCACGGAAAACCATGGAAGCACTCAACGGAAGTTTGGACGATGGGGACCCGAGCGCGGAGCGCGAAGGCAGCAAGGGCAGGGAACACAGGGTTGGCGCCCCGGTAGAGGGCGCCCGCCTGCTTTCTGCCCCGCGGGGTCACGGCGCCCCCTCCCCGGTGCCCTGGCCGGACGACCGGGCTATTTTTATGCGCGGACACCGGACACCGGGCTGGGGCGGCGGCGGTGGCTGCGGCGGCGACCGAGGCGGGATCGGGCAGGGCGGGTGTCGGGGCCACACGTCCGTCCGCGGGTCGCCTGGACTGCTCTCGCCATGGAGCCGCGGTGCCCGCCGCCTTGCGGCTGCTGCGAGCGGCTAGTGCTCAACGTGGCAGGGCTGCGCTTCGAGACGCGGGCGCGCACGCTGGGCCGCTTCCCGGACACGCTGCTCGGGGACCCGGTGCGCCGAGGCCGCTTCTACGACGGCGCGCGCCGCGAGTACTTCTTCGACCGGCACCGGGCCAGCTTCGACGCCGTGCTCTATTACTACCAGTCGGGTGGGAGGCTGCGGCGGCCAGCGCACGTGCCGCTCGACATCTTTCTGGAGGAGGTGGCCTTCTACGGGCTAGGCGCCACGGCGTTGGCGCGCCTGCGCGAGGACGAGGGTTGCGCTGCGCCACCTGAACGCCCCCTGCCCCGCCAAGCCTTCGCTCGCCAACTCTGGTTGCTCTTCGAATTCCCCGAGAGCTCGCAGGCCGCGCGTGTGCTCGCTGTCGTCTCTGTGCTTGTCATCCTCGTCTCCATCGTTGTCTTCTGCCTGGAAACGCTGCCCGACTTCCGCGATGACCGTGACAACCCGGGGGTGGCCGCCACTGGCCCGGTGAGGGGTGTGGCCCGGGTGGAGAGAGGCGGGGTTTTCAAAGAGCTGGGCGGGGTCCAGGAGAGGGGACCAGGTGGGAGGGCCTGGCCAGTAATAGTAAAACGGGGAAAGGAGATGAGAGGCGGGGCCTTTTAATGTGGGCGGAGCATAGTGGGCCAATCATATGGCAGGGCAAGGGGTTGTGAGCGGTGAGCAGCCCAGAGACTGGGCCTGGCCTGAGGACCTTTAAAAGTTGGGTTGGTGACAGGGAAGGTGTAGCTTAATGGGGATGGAGCCTGAAGATTTGAGTGGGACGTGACCCATCAGAAGGTGGGATGAGGTAGGTGATTAAACAGGTCTGAGGAGGGCAGGACCCTCAGTGCAGGTGAGTAGCAGGACAGGGAGAAAGAAACAGTTAAGGAATCAAATCTGGGGGCAAAGGAAACTGAGGCTGGCAGTGACCCATCTGAAGAAGGATGGACTGGGGCCTGGAGAGAGCGAGCTGAGGGCTCTGAGGACAGAGGTATGGGGTAAGAGGAACTAATGACAAAGGCACCTCAGCTGAGGGCTGTCAGAGTGAGGTCCTGAGGGTTTGGCCTAGAGAGAGGGTCTTTAACCATTATAGTCAAGGCTGGGGCTGGGGAAAGCCAGGAAAGGTATGGCAGAAGGAGGGCACTCCTATAGAAAATCAGTGCTGGGGCAGGGTGTTGGAAGGGAAGATGTGGAATCCCATTCTAGAATTCTTTAAGGAGGAGGGATCAGTAAAGAGGCAGGACTTCCTTCTGTAACCACACGTGGTGGTAAGGGGTACAGGACATCACGGTGGTGGCTGGGGACCCTAAGGCAGAGGCTATTGGCGAATCTGTAGTTAAGCATGGACTCTGGTGATCCCAGTGTGCCCCAGCCCTGGCCTTGTCTTCCTTGAACTCCTTTCTCCCTGCAGTTCTCCGCTCGGCTGAATGGTTCCAGCTCGGTGCCAGGACCCCCACCCCGAATGCCTTTCGATGACCCGTTCTTTGTGGTGGAGACACTGTGCATCTGTTGGTTCTCCTTCGAGCTACTGGTGCGACTGGTGGCCTGCCCGAGCAAGGCAGCCTTCTTCAAGAATGTGATGAACCTGATCGATTTTGTGGCTATCCTGCCCTACTTTGTGGCACTGGGTACGGAGCTGGCCCGGCAGCGGGGGGTGGGCCAGCCCGCCATGTCGCTGGCCATCCTGCGAGTCATCCGGCTAGTGCGTGTCTTCCGAATCTTCAAGCTTTCACGGCACTCAAAGGGTCTGCAGATTTTGGGTCAGACGCTGCGGGCCTCCATGCGGGAACTAGGTCTCCTTATTTTCTTCCTCTTTATTGGTGTGGTCCTCTTCTCCAGCGCAGTTTATTTTGCCGAGGTCGACCGGGAGGACACCTATTTCACCAGCATCCCTGAGTCCTTCTGGTGGGCAGTGGTCACTATGACCACAGTTGGCTATGGAGATATGGCCCCGGTCACCGTGGGTGGCAAGATCGTGGGCTCCCTGTGTGCCATCGCAGGCGTGCTGACCATTTCTCTGCCGGTGCCTGTCATTGTCTCCAATTTCAGCTACTTTTACCACCGGGAGACAGAAGGTGAAGAGGAAGGGATGTACAGCCATGTGGACACACAGCCCTGTGGCACATTGGAGGGCAAGGTCAATGGGGGGTTAATGGATGGAGAGGTGCCTGAGCTACCACCTCCGCTCTGGTCCCCTCCTGGGAAACACCTGGTCACTGAAGTGTGAGATAAAGTTGAGGTCTGTGGAACCTCACACCTCCTGGCAGGGAGGGAAGAAAGAGAAAAGCCGTGGCCAGGGGGCGGGGTTGGGTTTAGGAAGAACTAGGTTAGATGGTATTGAGTGGGGGAACACAGATTGGGTCTTTAAGTGTGTGGTTTGATAGTCCTTGGTGAGGACCTCCTTAGGTGACAAAGAATGGCAGTGGGTTCTATTGAGTTGAGCTGTGGCATCTCTGTGGTGGTGGGGGGGCCCACTGGTTTATATTGCATTAGGTTATTTAAATTTTGTGGTTATAGATAGGGTTGAACATACTCGCATCATTGTATGAGTTTCCATGTTGAGTTGGGTTGGGTTGTGAGTCTGGGTGAGTCTTGTCAAATTGCATTGTACAGGATTCTGTGGTTTTATGAGTCCCCTAGTGTGTCGCTGTTAGCGTCCTGGTGTGGTGCTGCAGGTTAATGCGCTGGATTGCAAGGTCAGTTTGAATCCAAGGTGTGTGGTTCAAGCTCACCAGCTGCTCCTCGGAAACCCTATTTAGGGTCTCTGTGAGTCAGCACCGACTCAGTGGCACTTAACAACAACAGTGTGGCACTGTGGATTTATGCGCTGGGCTGCAAAGTCGGTTTGAACTGCAAGGTTGGCAGTTCAGGCTCACCAGCAGCTCCTTGGAAACTCTATACAGGGCTGTTATGGGTCAGAACTGAGTCAACGTCCATTAACAACAACAAGGGCATACTGGGTAAGTTAGATGGTCATCCATGGCTTTGTTGGGACGTTTGGTTGAGTTCGCTTTCCACATATTGGAAAATATGTAGTTTTGTGATTCTTCTTGGGCCATGTTATTTTAGGTTCTGTGAAGTGATGTCAAAATAGGAAGAGTCAAGTGATATTGTGTGAGCTTGCTAGGTCACATTGGGCTAAGTTGTGCGGGAAAGTATGCTATCTGAGTGTTTAGGGTCCTGTTAGATCGAGTTGTGTAGAGTTAGGTAGCTTGAAGTCTCTCAGGGCCGTGTTTAAGCTGAGCTACATTGGGTTGTATAACCATGTGCATCTTGTAGGGCCAGTGTGGTAGGGTATTATAACTGGGTTGTGTCACTGTATGAGTCCTTAAGTAATGGTGGATAGAGTTGTACAGAATGTGAGTTCTAGAGGACCATGTTGGGTTGTTTAGCTGGGGTGCCAAGACTCAAAGATAACAGCACTGAGAAGGAATTAGCACGGTTTTGTGGACCCTGGGAAAAGGTTAGTACATCTTCCTAACTTGCTTGACCAGTGTTACCTTTCTGTAACAGAGTGAGACTGGATTCTTTATCTGTGGATTTAGTTGTTCATCCAGAGGGGCTCTGGGTGAACCAGGAAGGTATGTATAGACACGCCTTCCAGTTATTCACATCTGCTTTGTTTTGCCATTCAAACTCTTTCTTCATCTGTCCGTCTCTGCAGTTTTGCTCTCAGGCATGGAGAGCAGAGAGCCACATGGGAAGAAGACAGAGAGATGATGGGGACATGGAAACCCCAACAGGGGCAAAGACTCAGAGAGGCACTGAGCCCCAGAGAGAGAAAGTGATGAATAGGAATTCAGAGAGGAGAGGAAAGAGACCCAAGAGAGAGGGACAGAGACCTAGTGTAAGAAGAGGGAGAGAGGACCTAAGAAAGGAGACAGAAACCCAGAGAGAGGGGGACAAAGACCATGTGTAGGAATAGAGACCCAGAAGAGGGGTAGGTATCATGTACCCAGAGTTAGATAGAGACCTAGAAGCTCAGAGAAAGAAAAAAGGTTGAAAAACTCAGCGCCTCTGAACCCAAAAAAGAGACAGAGTCTCAATTCTACAGAATTATTTTTTAAAAATCCCTCACCAGGCTCAGTCACCCAGGTCCGCCTCCTCCCCTCGTCCCCCAAGCAGAGTTTAGGAGAGCTGTCAGCCACACACACACTATGCATCTCACCTCACAGGCTTTGAGAAAGGTCATGGCTTTCCAAGGTCACAGAGCAAGTCCCCAAGACTGGGACCTGTGGCCAGCTGCCTGCCTCCATGTGCTCCCATCTACCCGGAACACCCATGACGTCCCGGATTCAGTTGCCTTCTTTCTTGCAGACAAGGAAACTGAGGCACACAGATCACAAAGCCAAATTTTTTTCAAAGTGAAAAAGGGCATTTAGAGGACACTGATGATGGTGGTGGTAGTGGTTGGAATCACTAACACATAGGGCTCCCTACTACCAGGCATCCATTGAAGGACTTGTGTTAATTTATTAAACTCATCTGGTGTTTTACAGAGTGTTGTTGTGATCATTGTTTTAGCTATAGTTACTCACACCCCCCCCCCCTTTTTTCTTCTTTTTATGATCAAATAAAATCTTTTCTAGAGGTACCCATGGGAAACGGGCTTGGGAGGAACACATCATTCTAGTTCTTCTTGGCATCTCAAACTGCAACTAAGAAATTCCACTTGGAAACAATTGGTTCAATCCACTTTATATATATATATATATGGAGAGAGCATAAGGTATAGTAGACAATGGGAAGAGTTAGGTAAAGGTGGCAAATTATACAACCTTTAGGTAATCACATCTCGCTTAAATGGAAAAGAAACAGTGTCAAGAGTCAGAGATGAAGACAGACTCCCTAACAGTGACAAATACAAGCAGAAGCTTACTGTCCAGAACGCAGCACAGTGACCCAAGAAGGTGGGTCAGATGCAGAGAGAAACTAAGACCTGCAGAGAGGACAGGGATCCAAGGGAAGGAGGAAGAGCAAGAGAGAGGAGGACAGGGACCCAGACAAAGGGGGACAGGACCCAGATAGAGGGAACAGGAGCCCAAATGGGGGAGACAGGTCTCCAGAGAGAAAAAGGAAAAAAAACTCAGTGTCAGAGAACAAGAGAGGAGGAGACAGAGACCCAGAGACAGGGGACAGACTGATAGAGAGGGAACCTAGGAAGGGGGACAGAGACTTGAGGAGTCCCTCCCTCTATTTCTCTTACTCCTCTTTGAAAACCCCTACTACCTCATCTAAGGAGCTCTGGTAGCGTAAAATGGTTACGAGTTGGGCTGCTAACCTCAGGGTCAGCAGTTTGATGCTACTAGCGATTCCGCGGGAGAAAGATGAGGCTTTCTGCTTCTTTAAAGATTTACAGCCTTGGAAATGCTATCCAGGGTCGCTATGTGTGGCAACCGACGCCACGGCACTTAACAATAACTACCTCATCTGGCGCTGTGGGTCAATGCACCAGACTGCAAAGCCGTTTGAACTGCAAAGTCGGCAGTTCAAGCTCACCAGATGCTCCTTGGAAACCTGATGCAGGGTTGCTATGGGTCAGAACCGACTCAACAGCACTTAACAACAACTACTTCATCAGAAGCTTCACTTTACACAGAGCCCCACTGGTAGGGGGTGTGATGAGGGAAAGTGCGGGGGGAGAAGGAAGAGGTGACCTGAGTGGACACGCAAATGCTGAGACGTCACCCCTCCCCCACCCCAATAAAGAACTGCAGTCACCTTCTATGCCGCCTTGGTTGGGATGGGGGAGGCAGAAAGGGGAACACCCTAACCCGGGGACACCCTTCCTGCCACCTTGCCACACTATATTTAGGCTGAGGGAGGGGTATGGGATGCCCCCCCCTTCAAGGTGGGTGTCAGCTTTCCTCCTGAAAATAGCACATAGGAGAGTAACGGAGTCCCAGGGTTTAGGTGTGATAGGGTGACCCCTGTGGTGGAAATGTCCCAGGGTTCTCCAACTCCGCTTCAGTTAAGCCTTTCTTGGGACCTCTCTGGATCTCTGTTCCCCTCTCTCACTGAGTCTGTGTCCTCTCTGTGTCCTGGTCTCTGTCCCTCTCTCTCCCTGGGTCTTTGTTTTTGTTATGTTGACGGTTTCGGAGCCTTTTCTCCCTCCATCGGTCACTCTTCAATGTTTATCTACACTGGACTTCCCTTATTCCCCAAACGACTTTATGTGACTTCGCTATTACCTGGAATTGCTCTTAGCTGAGCTCAGGACGGTATCTCTCCCCAGACCCCACCCAGGAAATTCCAGGAAAGAGGACCATGTAGAAAGCCCCCCACATTCACTGCCCCCCAGGGCCTCGGATCTTATCACTGCCCAGTCCAGCTGGTTAATGTCTGGCAGGAAGCTCTGGGGAAAGTGGGGATGAGAGCAGAGGGTGGGAATCTGCCCCAGAACTGACACTAAATTGGCAAAAGGCGGCCAAGGAATCTTACAGCCCAGACTGTGGGATCTGACGGAGGAGGGGGCTGGGGGCTTGGACCTCTCAGTCTGAGAGAAGCGGGGGCTGGGTGCATGGACCCCTGTGTCTGAGTGAGGAGGCTGGGGGGCCTGGACTCCGGAATCTGATGGAGAAGGATACTGGGTCAGGGACAGATTTCAGGGCTGAATGAAGAGGGGGGCTCGAAGGCCGGGGTTCCCGAATCTGAGGACGGATAGGACCAGAGGCCGGAACTCCTGGGTTTGAGGGAAGGGGGTCAGGGGCGCGGATTCCTGAGTCTGAAAGAGGAGAAGACTGAGAGCCCGGATTCCCTAGACGAAAGGCAGAGGTCCGCCCCTGGGACCTAGGCGGGCCGCGTGCTAGTAAGCCGCGGGCTTCAGGTCGGGCCGGGGTGGAAGGCGGCCCGGCCCCGCCCC